AAGACTCTGCATGTGACAAAGCCATATCTGAAGTGAGTGCAAGCACTTCGTGGGCTCACTTGCAGCAGCTATTGCCTTTTCAATCTAAGGCAATTCATGCCTGAAGCATTCGCAAAAGTCTTCGATGGTAGTTGAGGTGCTCAGTGACCATGACAAGGCTGCAGATGTACATGGTCTGCGCATCACTAGTCGCCTCTTGAAGGCTGATTTTCAGGTCACAGCCTTGTCACGGAATGGAGAGAAAAGCACGGCCGCATTGGAAACGGCAGGCGCTTGGGCCTGGTGAAGCCGGTTGTTCGTGCTTGTTGGCGATGCGCGGTGGTGGAGGAGCTTCTCCAGGCCCAGCAAGCAAACATTGTACGATCAACGTGTAGGGGGACAAAGTTTGTACGAGACATTATTGATGAGTGAGATACACGATCACCTGATGGACTAGTACACGTACACAGTAGCGGGCAGCGGCTGGGATGCAGCTGGCACAACCCCACGCTAAGAGGAGGCTGAGGAGGCTCTGGGATGGGCACGGCATGGCATGGCATGGCGAACGATGTGAACCTTTCACGCGCCGTCGTCTGCGTCGTCAGTAGCCCGATCATGAAATTGCCAGCAGTTCCGCGGCGGTGCATTCTCGTGTCATTATTCTTTCCTTGCGACAATTTTAGTTGGCGCATTGGGCAGTCCGATGAGTAGGCGTGGTGCGAGCGGCTGGCTGAAGAGGGGCAAGCCCAAGCCCACACCATTCGACGCAACCTCGACGGTCTCGACCACCACCACATCCTCCCCCTGACACACACAACGACTGCACGCTTACCACTGTTGTTTGCCATCATCACCGCAAACTGATCTCCTGGAAAGCGCTCGATCAACCATTGGACGGCGGCCTGCAGGCTTCGCGACACGAGACGGAGGGCTGCTTCGCAAAGAGCACGTGGACATCCCTCGAGGCCGTGTCTGCTTGCTGCGACATACATAAAGCCTCGAGTCCTCGTCGCTGCCTTCCAGACGGCATCATACGCGGAATCCACACACTTCCTCTACCATCCGAACATCCCATAATTCGAGGCCAATGCCCCTGCAATAGCGAGCACCCGAGACAAGCGCACGGCAAGACGGACGGACGGCTGCATGCGCGTGCGCACCCATGAAAGACACGCGAGATGCGGCATCGGGCTCAGACATAGGGCTGGATGGCCAGAAGCCTGCTCTGCAGGTAATCTGTCTTGGCTCCAGCGGTGGGCCGAGCGAGGAGAATGTCTCAGGCTTCTTGGTGCGGTCGTTGGCGAGTGAGTGGTCCAAGAATTCGATGCTGGCCGTCGATGCCGGATCACACCTCGCGCCTATCATACGCATATTGGAACGCGATTTCCCCAGCATAAGTGCCGATCCGAGCAGAAGCGGCGCAAATGGAGGCAATACATCAAATGGTGGAGGCAGACCCGTGCCAGTAAATGGTCGAACTCCCTCTCCTCTAGACGACAATGAGCAGGCCAAACTAGAACCGAAGATACTAAAATCCGGCCCTTTCGCAGGGTTGAAGTTTCCGAATGAGTCCGCGAGGGCGAATGCTTTACATGTTTTGAGGACCTATATTTCGACTTATCTGATCACCCACCCACATCTAGATCACCTTTCTGGTTTTGCCATCAACACGGCTGCATTCGCTGCTACCTCGAAGCCTAAGACACTTGCGGCCTTGCCAAGCACTGTCGATGCGATCAAGACTCACATCTTCAACGACGTGATATGGCCCAATCTAAGCGATGAAGACGGCGGGGTCGGTTTCGTCACATTCCAACGTCTGAAAGAGGGAGGTGATGTCATGGTCGGCGAAGGTGAAGGGAGAGGATATATCGAAGTATGCGATGGTTTGGGTACACGCGCATTCAAAGTATCGCACGGCGTCTGCACCAAAAGCCCACCAAGCCACCGTCACCGAGGTAGCATTGCTGGAATTTCCGACTCGCAGGTCCCGCCGTACAATGGATCGATCCAAGGGACGTCGCAAGATCCTGTTTCTGCAGCGACTATGGGCAGGTCGCTCTCGATATCTGCAATGCAATCGCAGCCTGGAACTCCAGGTGGTACCAGACACAGTTTTCATGGTCAGAGTCATCCCTCACCGCACTTGCACGATTCACCCGACTACGCTTGCGTTGTGGACAGCGCGGCATACTTCTTACGAGACGAGCAAACACAACGCGAGGTTCTGATATTTGGTGATGTCGAGCCTGACTCTCTATCGCTCAGTCCGAGGACACATATCGTCTGGCAAGAGGCTGCGCGAAAGATTGCACAAGGTGTCCTGGGTGGTGTCTTCATCGAATGCAGCTACGACGACAGTCAGGCCGATCCAGTACTATTTGGTCACCTCAACCCCAAGCATCTCATTGCCGAACTGCAGAACCTGGCCAGCATGGTTTCCGACGCGAAAGCAGCGCGTGTTGCAGAGAAAACCGGCAAGAAACGAAAACGATCGGAGCTTGGCTTTGTCTCTGCTGTAAATGGACTGGATCATGCAAAGACATCCCTTCCCGAAAGCGCTCAGAAGCGTAACAAGCATCTAGCGAACACGTCAACACCGGATGACAGACGTCGAAGCAGCGCTCCCGATCATCGCATATCCGAAATATCAAGCACCTCCACTCGAACAAACGCTTCTACATCTCCCTCAATAGATTCCATGAAGCATTACCAATTCCAACCACCCTATAACGACTCGGAGCACATTACGGAACCTGGGACCTCACCACGATCCCTCGCTTTCCCGCGTTCAATCGACGGCATCGACAGCGCGCCTGACGAACTCCCGCTTACCGGCATTCGAATAATCATAATACACATCAAAGATACCCTGAAAGATGGCCCGCACGTGAGCGAAAATATTTTAGCACAGTTGCAAGAGCATGAGGCAGGGCTGCGTGAACAAAGTCTGGGGTTGGGCTGTGAATTCATCATTAGTCAGAGTGGTGAAAGTTATTGGTTCTGAGCAATTTGGGTCGGTGATGCTCTAGCTTTTGGTGCAGAGTAGAGCAGAGTACTGTACTGTACTGTACTCGACGAACGAACGAACACCCGACCGACCGACCGATTTGCTTTTTCGGGGGATCTGCAAGCCTCGAATAAATACCCGGATGGATGGATATATGTTTTTGATGAGGCGTTTAAGCGGCGTGGTATGAGAAGCTTTCAGGTTCCTATTTTTTTTGGAGGGGGGAACGGCATTTTATGGGGACGGGCACATGGGTGAATGGAGAACCATGTGGTTTTTATTATCATCATGATGGGAGGGAAGGGCACGCTCACGCTGACAGGTAATGAAAGGAGTACCGGTGTTTGGCGGCGTTGTGTTGTATACACTGTGGTGTTTGTTGATCATGAGTTGTTGTTTACTTCGCCGAATGTTTGATGCCGGTGTATATATTTTTTTCGAATCTATACATATGACTTTTGATATAGATCGGTCTGCCCGAGTGGTATGAATGAAATGTCCATATCTCGGCTAGAAAAGAAGCTACAAAAAATAAGTCTATGATTGAATGGTGCGCGATTTCGCCTCTCGGGCCATGTTTTTACGTGCTCGGAGTCACAGAGCTGGATCAAGTGAGGTAAGGTGAGGTCAGCTTTTTTTTTATTAATGTTCCACGAATTAGAAAGAAGGCTTGAAGAGTTGTTCGAAGAAAGTGAAACGCCGTCTTTTTTACCCTTGGTGAAGTTAGAGGTATGATGATGATGATGACTTTTGCCCGCCAATGGACTTCTCTTGATGCTTTTCGCTGTATGCCGCCGCTACGAAATGCAAAGCTTGGAGCACGACAGCTATGCAGGTCGAAGTTGCAGGGGAGGTGTTGTAGAGCTCTACTACGAAAAAGTGGCCCGAGGATGGCGCAACGCAGCTGCGGGAATAATGGGGGCGATGGCGACGTCGGATGGCGGGGTATTCTAGATGGTGTACTTTTGTTAGCAATGAAGGTGTGATTATTGATCGTGTGTCCGGGCGGTGAAGAGGCGTGTGGTAGATGTTGTTGATGAAAGGCGAAGATGTTGTTCCGGATGCTCGAAATGCTTGAGTTTTCCTACTGGTACAATACCCACCAGGCCATTGAGTTGATGTACGCATCGAGCTACACCTTGCACCCAAAGCTTCGGAGTTTGCAGCAGCTGTCGATGAGCATGTGATGTGAAGGGCGCGAACGAGGTATTTCACGTGAATACTGGTGAGGAGGTACGTAGGCTGCTGCGATGCTGACTTCAGCGAGTGGTGTTTCAGGCTTGAGGCCGACAGCAAACAACATCATCCTTCAGTAGTGTTAGCAGGCATCTCGATTGGCAAGTCAGGCCTGACCACGCGCAATCCCTGAATGCATGTCGTAGGCTCGGGGGGGGGCGCAGGCGAGCTGTGATTTGCCGAGTTGAGATGCATGGACTCGCCATGGAGGACTCGACGGCTCCCGTCAAGGAACCCAGAATAAGAGCAGAGGCCGATGTTGAGGCAGCTGCGCGTTGCATGAGAACTGTGCAGCGGCCAGGCAGGCAAGGCAATCCTGTGCTGCTTGCCGCCGTCGACGGTCGAGGAAGCGTGCAGCGTCCTATTCTGTTTCAGGACACGGGATACCTCGCAAGCCTAAACTCTGTTTCCTCTCCATCTCTAGCGTGGCATTGATGCATTTTGGTATAATGCAATGCCACGGCAGTGCGGCGATGTGGATGGGATTTTCGTGGATTTTCCATGCTCTGTGTCAGCTGCACCGCGGGAACTGCAGGACATGTCCACCGCGCGCGTTCGTGTGCTGCGCGCGGTGCCGTGCCTGTGCCTGTGCCTGTGCCTGTGCCTGTCCAGGCACAACGGGAGGCTCAGGGCTCAATCGAGCCTAGAGTGCTGCAAGTCGCGAGCCCTTCGGACGACCAGCTCACCCGAGACTACTGATCGCGACATCATCAGTAGTCAGAATGGGGAGGAAGTCGCTAGGTCATAGGAAGGGTGAGAAGTAGTAGTGCAGTGCAGTTCGTGAGAAGATAATGGGCGGATGAGCATCATGCCATATGATATCGTCGATGGGCCAGTCGTGTTCTCAGCACTGTACAGCAGTAGTATCCACACAACCAGAGGCGCGCGAGAGTAGCCCGTGCCTCTCGTGGCTAGTCGGGTCGATCTGGCGTTGGCGTTGGCGTGTTCGTGTCGGCGGATGAGGAGGAGCACAGTGCACAGCAGAGAAGAAGGGTGGTGCCGGTGTGTCACGCCCGCTGGCCTTTTTTTCGCGTGCGATCACCGCCATTGCATCGAACGGCGGCAGCAGCAGCAGCAGCAGCAGCAGCAACAACAACGGAAACTCAGCGACGCGCGAGTGCAGCGGGTGGGCCTCTTTTTCGCGGTCAGCAGCAAGGAATCGTGCGCAGTTCACATTCCGAGACGCTTGAAAGACATCGTGTTGTCTGTGCGTGCGTGTGCTGTGGACAACCCCTTCTCAGCGGCCGGCCTCACTCTCGCACCTCCTTCGACCTCACATCATCCATCTCTACCCCCATTCTCGTCACCCTGCACTGCACTGCGCAGCCTCCGGAATCCACCTTCTTCTCCTTCTTCTTCTTCTTCATCCTAATTGTACATTTTGGAGGCTGCCCGGGTCGCCGCCTTGCCGCTGATGCTGTTCTGAGCCGAGCCTTTCGTCCTCTGGACGCCGCTTTCCGCCACGCTCGTGTCCGTGCCTGTTGCTTCGCTTCTCATCATACACAAGGTACGTCGAACACAGCGCTCCTTCTCTCCGCCGGACCTGCCTGGCCTGCGACCGCGCCGCCAGCCTCTCACACCGCACCGCACGCTCGCGAGCCCGTCGACCTCTGCGACATGTCTTGACCACCCGCCCGCCTGTCCGTGCCTCCTCCACAGCCGCCAAAGTAATAGGGGCCTATCCTCCGACAACCACCTCCGTCCGCCCTCCATCCACGCTCCTTACCGCGACCACCGCTGCCCACGAGCCATCTCCACCGCTCGCATATCATCCACTGCACCCAATACACACCCATACTGACTGCTGGCCGGCTCAGAACATATAATTACCCCTTCGCCAAGCCTTTTCCTGCTCCCATTCCATTGATTCATCTGCACCCATCAGCTGCCTCGAAGAGCCTTCAACCACGGCAGACCCGATGGCTGAGGTACTCTCGCCGCCTACGACACCCTCCAGCACCATCACCATGTTGCACAACCGCCCCTCCTCCTCCGCCGACGCCTTCAACTCCTCCTCACAACAGTATCCGCAGACTTCACCACGCCTCGGCCAACAGCCTGCCCGCGGCATGTACAATGCACAAAACGCTGGCTTCAGGAGCACTACCACTGCTCCTGTGCAGCCGTATGCCTTCCAGAGCACACCAAATCTGCGGCAGGAGACGCGGAGTGTCTCCAACCCATCCCCACACGGAGCCATTGGCAGTCAGCGACATGCTCATACCCAATCTCAGCAGTCTGCGTCCACTTCCTCGACAGCATCGTCCGACGCCTCTACCGTGCCCTCAGCAAAGGACGATTCTGTCATAGGCTCGCGGAATAGCTCTCTGATCAATCTGTCCGCCAGCATGCCAGATTTGTCTCTGACCAACTTCGACCAGCCTACCAAACCATCGCCGAATCGATATCGTCGACCGGAAGCCAAGAAGGCTGAATCTGGAAACACGACCCCTAAAGCCACAACGCCCACCACATCTGCGGCGCCATCTGGGTCAGGCATGGCCAGTGTCGGTCATCTGCTCCAGCAAGTACCTGTTCCACAGCGTCAGGGAAGTTTGGATGATATGGCAGTGAAGACTGGCACATCCGAGTCCGCCAAGCGATATAGACGCCGCAGCGCGAACAACATTGATACTGCTGCGTTGCAAGCAACAACTGGTGCACAGAGGCCTTCTTCCAGCGCTGGCGCTACTTCTGCACCCACGACTATCAGGCCCGTGTCTTTCCATTCGCGCTCGGGCAGTGACGAAAGCCGCTCTTCGCAGAGGAAAGCTGAGCAACCTGAAAACGTTAAGCCGACTGGCCTCCGACCGGTCAATGTGCCTCCGCGTACATCTTCGGAAGCACACAAGGCAGCCGACCGGCGCAGCAAAGCACCTTCACCTTTGTCCAAGGAAACGGAGCAAGAAACCACACCTGCCAGCTCACCGCAAAAGCCTAAGACATATGCTGCGGCCGCCCAAGCCGCCGTATACGCACCATCTCCTGCGGCGCAGCAGCTTGCCGCGGTGTCCGATAAGGACCTCAATAAAGGCATGAAGTCACGGTTACGTCGCGCCTTCTCCTTTGGCAGTGCTCAAGAGCTTCGGAGAAGTGCCGCGGAGAACAACAATGCAATACACGATGCTGCTGCTCAACACGCACAGCACACCAGGGAACAGCATCAGCAACAGATTGATGATGAGCTTGATGCCGAACAACAGGCAATTGCTAGACAGCAAGAGGCGGCGGGACTTGGAAACAGCATTTATGCTAACACTGCGGTGGCCTTGGCTGGCTCGACCGACAACATATCCATTTCCTCTACCGCCTCCTCTGCCTCCATGATGTTGAGAAAGATGGGCCGCGGGGCCAAGAAAGGTGCTAGGAGCATCAAGGGACTATTCCGCCCCAAGTCGGTCATTGGTGTGCCTGCTGCAGACGGTCCGATTTCACAGGGCAATGCGACCGTCTCACCTAGTGTGGGAGGCGTGTCAATGGTCACTGTGGAAGCAGAAAGACAAAAGGTGAATGTCGACGCACACCCCGCGGACAAGCATGGGGTGACTGGCTTCCCGAAGTTGGAGCGCAACTCCATCGATGCAGCTAACAATGCTGGATTGGGCCTGCCTCAAGCACGAGGTTCTGCCGACCGTTCAGATTCACTCTCTCGTCGAAGCATTGTGGGCAGTGATAAAGACCGCGCGGAAGTTCTCGCGGCTGTAAAGAAGGGTATTCTCAAGCGAACTGGCACATCGTCGCCCAGTGGTTCGCCAGTCATCCGTCCCAATGACGCTGCAAGTGTGCCAACAATCTCTGAGAGCCCAGCATCAAGCATGCCCAGCACTCCAAAGGACGGCCAGAGCAGGACCGAGTCCATGAAGAATGCCACGAATGGTGACTATTTCAGCCCTCGACTGGTGTCAATGGCGAAGAGCATGCCGAATACTCCTAACGGGAGTGGTCGAGGCATTAGCTTTAGTCCACGGATCCAATTCCACGACGTATGGTCGAGCACCGAGTATGACCGCCGAGGCGAGATCGCCACTTGCAACCGCCTCACGCCAATGCTCGCACAACAAATCAAAGAGGAGCTCAACACTTTCAAAATGGTACGTCCCAACTTTGTGACCGACGCTCGCTGCTGGCCGGAAGCTAATCATGATTGCAGGAAATGGAAGTGCACGAAATGAGCAAGCCTCACACACACTTTTTCTAACGACATGACCCAAAAGTTGGCGGACACGAAGTACGAAACGCACTTATGGAGCGATATCACAGCCTCTTCATCTGCACGCCGCACGGTGCATATTTCCTTTTCTGGAACTCGGCCCGGAAGTGATAGGATATCATCTAATCTTTTTTCGACATGGGAAGCAATTGGGAGATCATTCGCGAGGGCGTCCTGGGCACCGTTTCAAGAGCGGCTTGTGGTGTGTGTGCAGAATACGGCGTTCTTCTTGAGCGGGGACATTGGTTCTTACTGTCTTGCTACTTGGGTTGAGGTCTTCTTTGACACTTTGTTTATTGTCTCCTCTGGATTAGCGACTGCATTTGCTTGCACTACACCAGACCAATGGAGGAAGCAGTGGTGAGGAAGAAGAAGAAATTCAGAAACATCGCCATTTTCAACCTTTGGTCACATCTCCACACCATATGTTTCTCTCCCTCGCTTTCGAGGTTATCACTATTCGATACCAGGACGACCGTCAGTATGAGAGGGCTTTGGGCTGCACCCCTGGCCTGGCGGAAAACTCTGCTGGCAGCGGCTGCGGGTTGGAATTCCAAGGACCAACCAACCATTGTTGTTGTTGATGGTACACTTTGATTGACTAGATGAAGGGAAGGGTCAAGATGAATGGCATGGACATGGCACATCGTTTCGATGGGTCTCTCCAATGAAGGGATTGTTTATGTTGTGTATATTCAATGGAATGCCAGACGGAAAGTACTAGAGGTTTTTTTTTTGGGCTTCAACATCACATCGTGCTACGCAACGCAACGCAATATAGATTACTGACAGCCCTGCGCATTCTTTTTTGAAACGCTGGATTGCGTGGTGCGAGGGACCCGGTGGTTTGGTTTGGTTCGGACTGGACTGTACCGTTTAGATGGGATGGGTTTGTGCTACCTGCCTGGGCTGCGCTCTAGTGTTGTGCTTCCACGGTGGTTATAAAATAGGGTCAGTGTCCACCGATAAACCCGCTACGTACGTACGAGTGGACATACGGAGGGTCTTATCAGATTAGGCATAGCCGCCAAGAATACCACGATATCCTGCCAGCCGCAAGGGATAGCCGTAGGGTTGGACCAGATCTGCTAGGAATACCAGCAGTATTAACTTGCGATATACCGTGGACGTAACAGCCTCGGATTGCCTCCACGGTGATCACCGTGGTTGTAAGGTTATGGACATTGTGCGTGGATGAGGCGGCACATCTCTACTGCGCTCGAATTTCTTTACGAGGTTGGATTTTTGCGTGCGTGTCTCGGGCAATGCAATTCGGTGGATATTTTCTCCTTCAGAGGCAGTGCAGTCTTTCTGGATAATTCAATGCATGATGCTTTGCATGAGTCACGTGATTGGCGTCGCGTGAGGTGAGGTGAGGTGAGGTCCCCAAGTGCCGCGGCATTTCTTTCTTTCTTCTCGCCACTCACCTCGCATGATCGCGCATCATGAATCTGCTTTATTTGTAGCTGGTGGCAATGGTTCGAAACGACTTCACCTCATCTCACATCACATTTTTGGAGAGATCCTCATAAGGAGGAATTAATTCTGGTTCTGGTTCTGGAACTGCGAGATTGAAAGGCCCCGCACCGACATAGTGCGAGACAAAACGCCATCAAAATCAAAATCAAACATCCTCTCCTCCCAGGATTGTATATCTGTATCACATTTCTCCGAATCTCGAATCTTTTCTGGTTTTGTATATATATATATATGCCATGGCCGCAATCCTGTTAGTCTTCGGAGCAGTTATGCTTAAAGAGAAAGTCGAGAAGAGTAAAGCTGCGAAGCGAGAGAAGAAGGCTTTGGATGAGTTGAGGTATAGGGATTTGGTTGAGGAGACGGAGAGGAGACTTAGTCGGGTTGAGAGTGGGGGGCAAAATTTCGGACTTCAACAACATTCGGGTACGGAGAGTGATGATGATGATGGGTTGGAGTCTGAGAATCCTACTTCGCCAGTTCATGAAGTCGGATCACCTCGATCAGATTTTGGATTTCAGGGAAGACGAGCCACAGCTACGGAGCTTGGAGATGAAGATTTTGGTGTTGTGAGTGAGGAGGCGAGGAAGAAGAAGCAGAAGAAGAGATTCGGTTTTCTGAGAAGAGGGCGGTGATGAGTAAATCTTGTCTTATTCATCTTTCGAAGCTTGACGAGAATATGCGGACACATTGAAGATTTTCTTGAAGTGCAGATGATTGTTTTAAGAGCTTGGACTGTACCTTATCAGCATGACCATGGTCATTCTGACTTGGGGATTTTACGAATTTGGTGTCAGATCCGAGGGAGGTGACAAGCCGACAGCAGTGGGAATTTGGGATGGGGGCACGAAATTATGATATAATGAAGTATTGACTGCATCATGAGCGACGAGAGAAAAGAAGACGTGTATGGCTTGGCTGTTGATACGATCTCAACCACCACATCTACGGAACGGAGACTGGTACGTCCCAAAAGTCCATGCCGACTAGCATGTGAATAAAATCTCAAGTCAAATCGATTTCTATAGGTAAAGATCAGGTGCTGCTCGCTCGTAAAGTTGGAGACTCCCTCGTTGCGTACATGAATTGCTCTGCTTGGCAGAAATCGTCTACTTGCAGGTCAAGGTGAATCCGTGAATAGCAAAGCAGCGGAAAATTCGGCGAACGCCTGGCCTGGCCACTGTGTGAACGATCAAGCCATTGGACATATACAGTGCAAATTCAATGCTCGGCGGTAGCACGTACATATCCTGTCGCTAGTACGACTGCTCTCGCCTAGCTCAAGCCTACTTCGGACTGAGATTCGCCTCCTTGACACTCTATGCGCAGTCTGGATTATTTTGGCTAGGTACGTGAGAGCTGAACCGTCTGCCTCGCACATTGCTATACTGGTATCCGACATCTCATCTGCGGCACTGTATCAGAGCTTGGGCAGAGCACCTGAATGCGTCTAAACCCGGCGCCCTCCAGCCGCTGTCGAAGCAGAAGCATATCCTCTGCTATGAACCTTTCCCCATCGCAGGGTTCCTTTCATCCAGCTATGCCAGAGAGTTTTCCAGCCTTCCATGACTGTAAGACGAGGCCTAGATAGGTAGGCACGGATGCTTGAAGCATCAATCTTATGCTATTGGAGCCTTCGGAAGATCGTACCACGTTTCTAGCAACGATGCTCCAATCCGATGTAGTAAGTCACCCGAGCAACATTCTGATGTGCACCACGTCAAAGAATTTCTAAGTCCTGGGAGTTGCAGACAACTCTGACTCTAGAGCCAGTACCTCTTCCTGTAACTACATCTGCTATCTTAGAAAACGGTTCAGTCGGCAAAGCTGAGATGATGTGTAGATGAGCTACATACCCTGTACTTGAAACGAAGCCTTCGTGTTGCAGGTTAAGGCTCTGCGACTCAGCGTCGTTACCAGCGTCAATACGAGGAAGCACGTATTCTTTGGCTTCTGACGAGGCCATTACACATGATAAAGTCGATTTCGAGCGCGAGTCTTGTTTTTCAGAAGGAGGTGTCTTGAATGAAGCAGTCTGAACTCGAATTTTGGAAACCAGGGCTTCGCTTGCGGCTGACCCAGTGGGAGGATTATTGCGCAAGACGCTACAAAAACGGCAGCGGAATGCCAAAAGTAGTCATGGTAAAGTATTTGACAGTCACTCGTCTTCGTTGATCTCGCTGTGCTTCTCCATGTGTCTCTAGGAAAGTAGCGAAGAATGCACTCCTGCTCATAGGGTCGTCAATCTTTCTCAGTCGGTCCGCTGCCCATTTTGTAGAAGTTTCGTCGAAGCTTTCAATCCCGTACAAGAATAAAGGCCTTAGATATCCGGCCCTGATCGTCCGTTCTTGCGATATACTACACTCGTCGTCAATAACGGCGCGGATGCTCGCCATCGCATCCCTGGCTCTCGCTGTTGGAAATGGTGGATCACCAAGGGTGCGTCCGAGAGCAATTATCTCAGCAAAGTATGTGGCCAAGTAGACTCCAACAAGAGAGCCTAACGAAAGCAACCCCGGTTGATACAATCGCCCACGAAATTCTGATGGCCTCAGCTGGAGCAAGTTCGGCCTACCATCCCACAACCTTCTCGTCTGGTCACTCAGTCCTTCGGCGATGGTATTAGCCTCTGCTTGATCTTCGGAAGTGATTCGTGATCGTCGGTAATGTGTTATATCTGCGACTTGGCTTGATATCTTCTGAAGAGCTAGATAGAAGGTGAAACTGGGACCGCCGAGCATGTCGAATGTAACCCTGTCGGGATATGTCCCATGATCTGATTGGGACAGACCGGGAGCTTCACTAATGTGATGATGGAGGAGTTTGATCATTGATTCTGGCAGAAGGCTAGGGCTTCCACTCCGCTTGGCGGCGGTGTCCAAGAGCTGTAGCCAAGCAGTGAGCTGGGTAGAAAGGACGGGTCTCTCATTTTTCCCTAACCAAGCTTCCAGCCTGGTCACAAAGTGTTCGTCAGCTCCAGTGAATGTGGATGTGTCCTCATTCGGCATTGTAATAATGCACAGGCAAAGTAGGAAGGCCACTTCCAATACAAGATCAAATGAACTTCCGTCATCGCGCACTAGAGCCTTACACTCAGTCAGAGCATATTCATACATTGACATAGCGGGAGTCATAGGCAATCGAAATGCCTGTGCCCTATGTAATGCTTGAACGGCCAGTAATGCTGAAGCAATCGGCGAGTGCTCTTCGGCCGCAGGTACCACGATCTCCTTGAATCTCTGCCAGTTCACAGGGTCAAATGGTGTAATGAATGGGCAGGCGACAGCAGTAAGGAAGTAAGAGTAGGACTGGCGTGAGGGTGCTTTGGAAACTGGAGAGCAGTCCATGGCTAAAGTCAGATAAATGATCTGGGAAGTCGCAAAGAGTCGGTCCGCAACCTGGAGAATTGGTCCACCAACACCTGTGTGAAATGTTGCACTCCCATCGTTTTGCGCACTCGGACCACTGCCCAACAAATCAATCTGCTGCACAGCGGAACCAACAGTCTCTGGTGCCTGCGAATTGTGTACTGATCTTGTCCCATCCTGGGAAACCGAGTGCGAAATATCAAGTGATGTACCGCTTGCAGCGCCTAGTGAAGCATTCGAAATGTCTAAGCTTGATGTGTTATGCTGTGGAGGTTCGTCACGCCTTGAATCGTCGTTGCTGTTGGGCAAGGCCCGCGTGCTGTTGCGCGGTGATCCATAGATACATCTGGCGTTTCGCCTACTGCAATTCCGACATGGGATATGTTCGTCACATTTAATTTTTCTGGCTCTGCATACAAGACAACCCGTGCGGACGCGTAACATGAGCTCGTGTAAGTAGGGAGAGTGCGTCCCCAGGCGTGGCACTCATGGTCCACTCGTCGTCAGCTCATACGTTGTGGAAGTTTACACATCTAACCCGGCATAATGGGATCTTAGGAAATGCATGGTATGGATCATGGTTGGTGATGTGCTGAAGATTGGAGAGGAAGGAGAGGATGAAGTTCTGTCTATAGGTCTAGCCAATTGGACCCTGGTTCTGTTCAGCATTGCCGAGATGCCAAGACACACGTGCTGCACACTGGACAAACACCGGACAAATACTAATTTTAAAATCACCGCTGAACCTCGCACTTCACTCCTCCTCAGTCCGGGGTTTCTCGCGAGCTGCCCTCACGATCCTGACCATCTGGTCGACATCATCGCTGATGATGTGATCTAAGAGACCCTCGCCAATCCACTCTACCACTCTGGCTTCAACATCTTCGCCGTACGACTTCAAGTCTCGCAGCTTCTCAGGACGTGGAACATGGAGAAACACTGCGAAGCCAGCGGCGTGTAGCTGGTGCGCCTCGCCACTGGGGAAGTGTTGGATCTCAAGATTCATAGCATCCAACTCTGCCTCCTTAGCCAGCGCGGCGGGATCAATGAAACGAGAATGAGTCAATCCAACAGTCGGGATTTCTGGAAAGGCCTTCTTGAGTGCTCTGAGCTGTACAAAGTCAAAAGACGAGAACTGCAGCAGATCGGCACATCGCAGTCTATCAATCAGTGCTCTCAGCTTGAGGAAGAGAAAGTCGTTCTGATCATATATTTTCAACTCCAGCTGGTAGATAATCCCAAGCTCGCGTGCGAGATTTAGCGCTTCTTCAAGCGTGGGAATGCGTTCACCAGCGAATTCTTTGCTGAACCAGCTTCCAGCGTCGAGTTCAGCAATCTCTCGATATGTTAAGCTGCGGACCAGTCCACGGCCATTCGTTGTGCGGTCGACCGTCTCATCGTGGATTAGAATCAACTCTTGATCAAGGGTCACCGCGAGATCTGTCTCGCACGTAACTCCGCTCCCGGCAATTTCGTGGGCTCTTCGAAATGCAGCCAGTGTATTCTCTGGAGCTCCGGCGCTGTGGCCTCGATGACCTGCGACTCTGGCCATCTGTGGATCGACTCTGAGTGGATTCATCTTCGGTCTTCCTCTTCACTTTCTCCTGGGAGGAAATTGTGACAGTCCAGACCAATTTTCTAGCTTGAATGACAAAATGGTGTTGAAATAGGTGACCACTCCGAAGTTCCCTGTTTCTATCGAGATTTTGTACGAGTTTCAGTCTTCCCTTATTGCCCGTCGAGCACTATCAAATGCCGCGAATTTCGCTGCTACAGATGTTAGAGCGTTGTTCATGTAAGTGGACCTTCTCGGCTAAAGTGGGTCTTGCCCCTTGCTGAAGCCCTGTATACTACCGCAGCGAGCGCAGGCTGCAGTTTACGAAGAATGTAGGTACTATAACCTCTAAGGGGCTAAAAGCTCCTCCCGAGAAGGTAGTAAGAAAAGTACGTAATAAGACAGATCTTGCCTCTATTCTACTCTACACTTATTATATATCCGATATAACTTGTAAGTAAATAGTAGAAAGGTTATAGGTTACCCTCGGTACCGAAGTATAACCTGCCCTCCGTAGCCTAATAACCTGCGTAAGTATATAGAATCTCGGCAAAAGTAGAGGCATCTCGTAAAGAGAGTTATATCTAGCTTGCCGGTCGGCTATAGACTACAGTCGGTACAATCTATTAAGTTGTTTACAATAGCCGCGTATGTTAATGCGTGCTCGTAGCGTTATTAAATAATACTATTAGTCGTAACTCCTTACTAGCATTAAAACTTAGAGAGTGTGTATATGTAGCTAGCTATTACGTATATAATACCTAAGGCTGTAACTATGCATACTTTATCTTTAGGCTTTCTATAGATTAGCCCTCTTCTAAATATATTATAGTTTATATTAAGTAGTTATAAGCCCCCTGCGTTTCTAACGCGTATAACACGTTTAATACGTATTCTAATAGTTACTCCGACTACTACGTAGCTAGCACTCGTTACTAATAATTACGCCGATACTAATATCGTCGCCGCCGCCCTCGAGTGTTCTAGTAGGTGCTAGTCCGACTCGAGTTACTACTATAATCTTAGTATTAGCTGTCCGCTACACAATATAGGCGCGCCTATCGGCGGCCTCTCGAGATAAGTCTATAGTCTCTTTCTATATTATCGCTATCGCTGTTAGCAATAGCTTCCCCTACTACCGCTAACGCTTATATAAGCAATATTCCTAAGCTAAAGAATAAGGAGAATTATCTAGTATAGGCCTACGCCGCTAAGGGTGCCCTTAAAGGTATATAGGTATAGCGCTATATCTAGGGGACCCGCCTAAAGCCTAAAGTTAAGCTGTTATCTACTAAAACATAGGAGCAATTTGAAGACCGCTAAGATAAATAGGAGGCAAAGGACTAGTTAGCGCGTACGTAGATATTCGCTAACTGTATATCGGAGATTTAGTAGTCGTTACTTAGACTCGACACCTCCTAGGTAGTATAGAGTTATCTATATAAGAAGTATACTAGTAAAGGTGGGTCTACTGAATTTATGCTCTTCTAGGACTATATTACCCTTCGCTACGATAGCAAGGACGTTAAGAAGTTCTATAACGAATATAAGAAGAAGCTCGGTGCCTTAAAGGACACTAAATTAGCTATTAGTTAATACTAGGCTGTCTATATGTTTATTATACAAATCGCACCGTTCTACGAGGCTTTCGCATAGATACGACGTAAGTAGATGCGCGCCTTAGAATACACTATTAACGATAGCACCCTTAACAACATTATTAGCGCGTTGCTTAATAAGAATGTAGCCTAATTGAACTAGGCCTAATATAATAGTTTCTTCGGTCTCTAGCGCTAGCAACTACAAAGCAATAGCAATAGTAATAGTCGAGGTAACTCGAACCGTAGCGGTCGTAGTAGCCGCGGAAACAATAATAATAATAGTAACGGTCGAGGCCGCGGTAGAAGCAACTAGAATAGTTATTAGTCTAACCGTAAGAAGTGCGCCTATTATTAGGGATCGCATCTATCTAATCGTTGCTATAATAAGTACTTTTATCTAAAGGAGGAAGACCGACTACGCTGTAAGCAGCAGAAGGCTAAGAAGAAGGGGGTATAGTAGTAGTAGTAGTAGCGTAGACTGTCTATATAGCAACAATAGCAACCCTAGCCTAGTACGCAAGGCCTATTTGCTAAGAATATACTACCCTTATTCTATAACAATCTACGTCCGGATTTAGCACCTAGTTTAGGCGGCAACTACGCCTTTAATACAATTACTATTAGTAATACGGCATCTATAGCGCCTACTGCAGCGACTCGTACTACTAACTAGGTTATAGACTCTAGTACTAGCATGTATATAGTTAACGACCCTGCCCTGCTTCTTAAGTATAAAGGCTGTTACATTCCTATTCGGTTTAGTAGCAATACGAAGCACGCAACAATAGTAGGCGTTACTTAGATAGAGGTAGTTAATAAGTATAGTATTAGCAATATAAAGTTGTTAGAGACACTATATATACTAGGTCTAGCAGCTAACCTCCTGTCTACTAAGAAGCTAGCCGATAAGGGCTGTTTCTATCGGAATAACAAGCGTATACTATTTACTGTTGTTAACGGCTCTAAGGTTACTATTGCTTAGATATACTGAAAGAATAGTCTCCCCTATCTACATATACTAACCTCTAGTCCTAATAGCTAGGTTGTTACGCTTCTATCGAAGAAGGGGGTACTAATAGGTACGATAGAAGAATAGCATCTACGATATAGCTATATTTATTACCGCAAGCTATTGCGAATAGAAGCTAAGGGTTAGATTGTTATTACTAGCAATAAGAATAAGAGTAACTTCCGAAACTGTATCGCTTGTCGTATAGTAACGTTATATAAGGAATACAACCGACTACTACGACTACGACTATCTACTATTTACTATATTGTCTATATAGATGTAGTTACTATTACCAACCCTAGTCTACTATAAGAACGCTACTTCACGTTGTTTATATGCGCTAAATTAGCCTATCGATACGAATATGCTAGCTTACTAAAGTTAGGGGCTATAGTAGCTATTAAGGATTATCGTATATACGTCCGTATACAAACTAGCTATTCGATCCTAATCTACCGCCTCGATAGAGGGGGTAAATATAGCGGAAATCAGCTATTAAGCTAGGCTCGTAATTAGGGCATTGTACTATAGGTTATAGTACCTCATTCTTCTACTTAGAATAGCCTAGCTAAGGTTAGCAACTATATCGTATATACGACCGCTCGGAAGATAATGCTCTATACGAATTTGCTAAAGGCCCTATAGCCGTATACAGTTACTACTGCTATATAGGTCCTTAATATCACTCCTAGAACCTTAGAAGGTCTTAGCCCCTATACTATTATAGCTAGGGAGCTTAATTAGTCTCGAAAGCAGCTACGCCTTTAACATCTTCGTACCTATAGCTATACTGCTATTGCATATAATTACGGAGTTGCTCGTAGAAAGAAGATAGATAGCAGAGGCCTTATTAGCAAGCTAGTCGGCTATGCTAAGGACTTAGTAGACTTAGGAAAATACATAATTTACCTTCCTAACTAGTATAAGGTTATTCTATTAAAGGATGTCTAATTCATTAAGACAGCTAGTAAGCTATTGCTTTTAGAGGGCATGAATCCATACGCTAATCCTAACGACCTAGCTAAGAACGAGTTTGTTATACTCGAGTCTATTATACCGGCTCTGTTTAATTCTATAAGTAACGAGGCACCGCTACCTTAGGAAGCTGCTAGTATTGTTTAGCACATTCTAGCTTAATAGGAAGATGCTCTAGAAGAACTAGCTTAGGAGGTAGCTAATAAAGTCGCTAATCTATTGCCGCTCGAGGATGACCTGCCGACTATTTAACCTCTAAGTAATAAAGATAGCTTCTAGTTAGCCGAGGAAGAACTAGCGTACGATCCTTACGCTAAGAAAGGCGAGCTAGGCTAGTTGCCTAAGTTTAAGCGACCTGCTAAGGCTGTTAGTAGTCGTTCTATACGCAAGATACGAAGTAATAAGAGCGCTCGTAAACTGCTATATAGTTATCTAGCCGATATAGGCGCTCTCTGTCGCAAAGAGCGCCGCACCCTTACTAACATACCGATAGCCTATATAAAGGGCTTTATAGCCGCCTGCTATATTGCTAAATAGAAGCCTAACGATACTATTCTAATTCCGAAGAGCTTTAAGGCCGCTAAGGAATTACAATACTAGCTACAATAGAAGGAGGCCTATAAGGCTGAATACAAGTTATTAATAGACAACTATATATAGGTATATATTTCTCGACTAGAAGTACCTAGAGGTCGCAAGGTTGTCCGTAGCCGATAGGTGTTTACTATTAAGCGTAACGCTAATAGCAAGGTAAGCTAGTTTAAGGCTCGATAGGTTGTCCGTAGCTTTACTTAGGTTAAGGGATAGGACTATAATAAGACCTATGTAGCTGTCGCTAAGCCGTCTACGCTACGAGTACTGTTTAGCTTAATCGCCTATTACGACCTAGAGGCTAAGCAATATAATATCCTAACGGCCTTCCTTAATACGCTTATCGGTAATAAGTATAAGATCTATATCGAGTAGCTATATAGCTTTGAAGACCGTAGTAGCAAGACTATAGTTTGTCTGTTACTAAAGGCACTATATAGTCTAAAGCAGTTACTAATACTATAGTACGAAGAGCTTCGAAAGTATCTAAAGAGCCTAGACTTCGTGCCGATAGTAGCTAATATATGCGTGTTTAAACACATTGTTAGCGGCTCTATTATTGTTATCTACGTAGATAATATAATTATTATTGCCTACACTTTATTAGCACTAGAAGCTATTGCTTAGTTACTAAAGGACCGCTTTAATATATAAGAACTAGGCGACCTTTACTACTATCTTAGCATGCGGATTATTCGCGACCGCAACTAGCGCACTATTTGCGTCGTTTAAGATGCCTATTTAAATAGACTTAGTAAGAAGTATAGCATATAGGGCCGTATAGCACCGGCTACACTAATAGCACCTCGATACGTTAAGACATCGATTTAGCGTACACCTAAGGG